GAAAAAAGAGGACTGTCCCGTAGGACGGATGGTACCCATATGAATCATGACAGTAACAGTAAATCTAAATTGTGATAGAAATTACTACCCAAACCTTGTAGAATTTTCATTCACCAGAAGCAATTCGCAAAATTAGTAACTGATAACCAGTTACCTGTCTCGCGACCACAGATTTATTTTTGTTTTTAACATTTCCAAAAGCAACACCAAATGTTCCCTACCTAACTTTAGTATAACACAAAACTTTTGAAAAAATAAACGTATCGATTACAAATATTTCAGGCCTATTACAATCCTTAAGAAATTTTCTCTACCCAACATTGTGAGCAAGAACAATATATATGTATATAAAATCAAAATAGTTACTTACCCCAACTTCAATTTACGTTTTGTTAAGCCTGGTTTTCATTAGGTCATATTTGACGTCAAATGTTGTCAAAATAATGAAAATTGGTTGTCATCTGGTGTCATTTGCGTTTGTTGTCATATATCACCACGCACTGTCATATAAAATGACAGCCAAGTGAAAACGGCCCTAGCCGCTGATGTGGCAGCATTTGACAACCAAAATATATTTGCCAACATGTTGGCAATTTTGATGTCGTTTGCCATGCGAACAGCTGATTCTCGCTACAATACCGACCGTTTAGCTACAAAAATGCAGATCGAGAGAACTTTTCACGCGATTTCAACCATAACAAATTATTTGGGGAAAGTAAAAAACAAAGAAAATATAACAGGTTAAACTTCAACTTTCCCATTTTTTATATGTTTAATATCTCGGAAACTACTTGACCGATTAGAAAAAAGTTGATGCCAATTCAAAGGCAATTTTAGTACTTTTTTTACGGCGTATTTGCTAAAGCCATTTTTAAAACAAATTTTAGGTAAACGTCATTTAAAAAAAAATAGATATACAATTTCGATTTTTACCACTACTTTCGTTAAATTTTGCCTTATAAAAAACCTTTTTATATAAGGTAATAACTTTTACTTTCTAAATAATATAAATTTCTGTAGCATTAATTATGCAATTTTCCTCAAAAAAGGTTATTTTATGAAAAAATTAATTTTTTTTTTTTAGTATTTTTGACTTAAAAATATAAAAAATTAACAAAATTATGTACATCTGCTGAAAGATAAACTAATCATCTTTATTCTCCCATCATTAGTTGTTTAATCGGTTATGTAGTTCACAAGATATTGATATTTCAAAATATCGAAACATTTAACTTATCCTCCTATATCTTCTTAATTTTTTACATGCGCTAAAAAAATTTGGTAAGTTTTAAATCAGCATGAACAGTTCTATCCAGTTACATTTTTGGTTTGTCTATAGCTAAAATTACACTTTGTTTAAACATTTAACTTCACATTTGACATCAGTAATTAAAACGGAATGCCAATCATCTGACTTCGAATTTTGACGACAGTCTTTGACATGCACTGCGGTATAGACATT